TACACACACTGCAGACACACGCATGCACACCCAAACTAGTAAAGAAACAAAGCCTCTAAGAATATGTGAATATAATTTAGTTACCAAAAGAAGTTAATGAGTGAAAAAATGACTATTCTTTCATTGTTTTGTTGAGGAGGTGATTTTCTATACTGAGGAAAGGTAAGACAGCTGGTGCTTTTCAGTTAGGGAATTCTAGAGACTTCCAGGTAGCTGTTGTGACCCACTATGATTAGTGTGATCTTTGAGGCTTTGCCTTTGATGCCTGCAGAGGCTGGCCTTGATAAAAATCGGGGTATAAGCCTAACTTTCTTTCCTTCTCCTTTTTTGACACTTGATCTCCCCAACTCCATTCCTTCATCCTGCTCTTTGGCTGCCTATGACCTCATTTATAAATTACTTGGAATTTTCCTTAAAGCTGATATACATTCAAAAGGAAAAAAAATCACTTTTTTTCTTCTTTAAAATTCATCTGTTCTGTGTTTTATTCTCTCATGCCCTTCTAAGATTTTGAAACTAGACCTCTTAGTGATTTATAGTGAATTGTTATGATATCTACCTGTATTGGTTATTCTTCCTGACACCTCCCAGCTACTTGTTTCTTTTTCTCTCTTCCTTTGCCCTTCTCTGTGCCCTGAAAAGCTGATTTATACAAACTGCATAACCCTGGTCCCCTTGCCAGGTGGCTTCCTGTCAGATTTGCCAGTGGGAGGCACTGGCAGGAAAATGGGAAAGGAGGAAGAGAGCTGACCATGCTTCTTCCCCGCTTCTTCCCTGCACCAGGCTGTGTTTCTAGCAGTAGCTGTGTTTCTCATAATTATAGCTTCCAGTAGATACCTTCTCCTTCATGGGCTCCAGAAAAATTGTTTTCTCATGTTCCTTATCAGCCCTCTGGGATGATAACTTCCTACTGTGCTAGGATTTGGATCCTTTACCAGCTGTTGTTCATTCACTTAACTTGGATCCAGCTGCCTCTTACCAGTTTACCACTCAGTCCCCTCTGGTATCATAATATAACTTAAAGAGTTCCTCAATTTTAGAACTTCAGTTTGCCTTTTATTATAATTAGTTGTGTATATATCTACCCTACTAAATAGTGAGGTCACAATCACGTGTCACTCATCTTTGAACCCCAATACCTAGCAGGGTTTTTGTTTCTAGCATGTAGTAGGAGCTTACTAAACATTGTTAAATACATAGATTAATATGACTGTTACACTCTCAGCCTGCTCCTAGAAAGACCTAATGTTGTTCTAATATTTTCACAATTTTTTGAAATTGTGGTTTTCAGGAATAATTGTGGCTTTTCTTAGTGTCTTAGTATTTGTTTTTCCCCTAAAGAGTTGAGGCAAGGCATACTCTGCTAGTATTATTGAGTTTTTATGCTAAACTTCAGACTTATGAAGAATCACAAAAACTGATGAAAAAGAAACAAGACAAAAGTCATATACTTTGGGTTTTCTCTCAGCCAAGTTCACCCTGTTTGTGCTCACTGCTTGAAAGAGAATGAAGCAATTGTGATCTCATTCATTTTCGTGCTTTTCCTCTCTCTGCCAAGCTCCATTTAGTGCCCTATTGTCCTACAAGTTGCCTATTTGAGTCTTTTGAATTAAGAGTTTGAAACAGAAGGTCCATCTGCTCTGCATGAATATTAAATTATCATAAGACTTTGTATAAGGAGAGTTTACCCTTGTGTGTGTGTGTGTGTGTCTGTGTGTGTGTCTGTGTGTTTAACAGTGTTTCTTTTCTCCTCTGTTATAAGAAAGACTGGGAGCATTAGTTTGTTTTTTTTTTTTTTTTCTCTTCAGCACATCTTTAGACTTGAATAGGCTGAGTTATCAAGTCACGTAATATAAAAGGCTTAGAAACCATTGAGTGGCAGGTGCTGAAGAGAAATAAGAAAGCTTTTATTTATCCTCATTATCTTATTAAATGTAGCACTTATTAAGTGTAATTGAACTTTCAATATGCCAGATCTTGGTATATTGAGGTTAAAGCATGTGACTGCTAACCAAATTTCAGTGGTTGGAACCCACCAGACAGTCCGTGGGAGAAAGTTGAGGCAGTTGTCTTCTGTAAGGATTTACAACCTTGGACACCCTATAGGGAAGTTCTGTTCTGTCTTGTAGGGTTGCTATGAGTTGGAATTGACTCAATGGCAATGGTTTTGTTTTGGTTTGGGACCACATAAGAAAAAACACACTCTAAATAATACATATTGGAGAAACAAATCTTAAAATCAATCAGGTTTATTAAGTAAATGCAGATGCTATTTTAATTCATAATACGCTAGATAGTTTACAATTAACAAATCTGTTTCACTTTGAATATTCATGAATGAGTAAGTTCTAGCCAATGAGTAAGTTGTATTCTTTTCCAGCAAGCTCCAAAAATTTAAAATCAGTTTCCTATTAGATGATGCTATGTAGTGAATTTGTTAATAAAAGTAAAGAGATCAGTTGAAGGATGGCATTTTAAAATGTGCATGGTTTCTGTTATTTAAATGTGGAGCTTTCAATAACTTTTCAGTAAAGGTAGAAGTTGGATTACACTTAAGAAGTGAATACTTGTACAACTGGATACATATTGCAATATCATTAAGGGTAAAACCAAAAACCAAACCAAACCCACTTCCATCAAGTTGATTCTGACTCACAGTGACCCCCATTGAGTTTCCAAGGCTGTAAATCTTTTACAGAAGTGCATTGACTCATCTTCCTCCCACAGAGAAGCTGGTGAATTTGAACTGCCGACCTTCTTGTTAGCAGCCAAATGCCTTAACTACTATACCATCAGAGCTCCTTATCATTAATAAAAGTATGTATATGTATATTTTTTACTAACTATTATTGTTAAATTGATGCTTTTAAAGATAATGGGAAGATGTAACTTCTTTTTTTCTTTTTAAATTTTATTTTAAAAGCTTGTTTTACATTCAATGTTACATGTACATTTAGTTTCCCTCCCCATTTACCATGTCCAACCCTAACCCAGTCTCCTCCCCTCCCTACCTTGTAACCCTCCCCCGTGCCCCTCATATTTATGCACTCCTGTTTGTTCTGCATTTCCTCAGTTTGAAAGTTGGCCGTCCTGTGCCCCTGGTCCATTTCTCAAAGAGATGTATTACCACAGAGTATGTGGGTGCATCATCCCGGGTTGAGTGGTCTGCATGTACATCTTGTTAACTGTTGGGCTGAGAGCCTGCTCCTGGGGGTGAGTTTTATTCCAGGTGTAGAATGTATTCCAGGGCCGAGGGAAAGACTTTTCTCTAATTTACACAGTAGAATAAAAGGACGTGTATACATTCACTTTGTAAAATATGTGTAGTTAAAAAATCAAAAATTAGATTTAGTAATAGGTAAAACAAACTGCCTGACACTGAGCAGGTTCCTGTGTGAGGTGATCACTTTCACTGGTCTATTGAAGTAATTAGCTCAGCATGGATCTGGGTGCTAAGGGGCTCTGAAGCATCTACAATATTGGGTGTACTTTCAAAAAAACAGTACAAAATTATGAAAACAAAAGTTAGTTCAGGGTCTTGAAAGGTGCCTAAGCCATAGAAGAGTCTTGAAGTTTAAACGCCATGAGTTCAGGCTACATCTATCTTTGTTTAAATGATGAGTCAACATGAGTATGTGGAACATTCCTTAGAAAACAAGCTAAGAATTTCTCTAGGCTAAAAGTTTGTGTGACTTGTAAATACCTGACAGATTTCAAAGAAAAATTTATTTGATAATCTATAAGCATTTTCACAAATTAAAATTATGTTTTTAACACTGAATCTGAAGTTCTATTTTAAAATTTTATGTCATTGGGGTAGAAAGCAAGGCAGGGCCAGAAGAAGACCTTTTAACATTTTACATGGGCTATCTGGTACATAACAACAACAACAACATCCTAACACATGTGTGGTGTCCTTTGGTGGGGCAAATGGTTATTACCCTAGGGTGGCAACTGAAAGATTGGAGGTTCCAGTCCACCCAGAGGCACTTTGGAAGAGAGTTCTGGCAAGCCACTTTGAAAACCTTATGGATTACAGTTCTAGTCTGACACATTGGGTTTCCATGAATCAAAATGACTCAACAACAACTAGTTTTTTAACCTTTATGTAAAAAAAAAAAAAAAAAAAAAACCTGAAAACTTTGCTGTTGAGTTGATTCTGACTCCTAGTGACCCCACAGGATGGAGTACAACTGCCCTGCAGGGTTTCAGAGACTGTAATCTTTATGAAAGCAGACTGCCACATCTTACTACTGTGGAGAAACTGGTGGGTTCTAACCACCAACCTTTAGCTACCAGCTGAGTATTTAACCAGTGCACTACCAGGCTCCTTGACCCACATATATTTGGATATAAAATTATAATAGTCCCTAAAACATAAAACTTTCATTAGCTTTTTTTCTGATTTTTGTTTTAAAATTCTGTAATGGTACATCAAAAATGAATTTTTCTCATATTTATGTTGACACTGATTTATTGCTCCCTAAACCAAAACCCAAACCAAACTCACTGCCGTCGAGTCAGATCCGACTCATAGCGACCCCTCCTTGGGTTTCCAAGGTGGTATCACTGCGGAAGTAGATTGCCCATCCTTCCTTCCGAGGAGTGGCTGATAGGTTTGAATGGCCAGCCTTCTGGTTAGCAGTCAAATGCCTTAGGCACTATGCCACCAGAGTGCCCTTAATACGCTTCTTGGAAGCAAGGTCCTAAGGAAGACATCATCTATCAGACCTGCCGTATGCTTATTGGAATTAGTTTTTAAGGGTCTAATTCTTATCCTTTTTGTACCTTGTTTTAGTCCATGAACTTAACATGGCAGTAACTCCTGAACCTACATGTGCCTTATAGTAGATTGAATTTAGGTTTATAGTCATTCAAACTTCTTGAAAAATTGTGTGAACATGTGCAATACTGTTGCAAAATATATGAACATGTCTACACTATTTTTCCTAATAACAAGTAAATATAAATATGTTTTTTTTTTTTTTTTTACTCTAAAGCAATATGCCAATTTCAAGGACGAGCCTACTTTGAAGGAGAAAGAAATACGGTCTATTCCTCTTCTGGAGTTTGTGTTCTCTATGAGTGCAAGGTAAGGAAATTCTTTTTTGGTCCTTTAAAATTATCTCAATTATATAAACACAGTAAGCTTTCCTGTGAAAACTCATACTTGTGATACATTTTCAAATTTTAAGGCTCAGAAAATTCAAAATATTAATTGTAATTTAAATGTAAAGAAATACCCATTTTATTGCAAACAGACCCATTGTTGTAAAATAATTTCCCAATGAATAAAAATGCTTTTTTGTCAAGTTAAAGTTTTATGAAGTTGTCTTATGTTTTCCAAATTCAGATAAGCTCCTGATTTACTGTTGTGAAGAAATTGTAGATAAAGTTACTCTCATTCCATTGTCACTCATTGTTTTCACCCATGTGAGAAATAGCACTCAGTTCAATTAAAATATGAAGCTCACCTAATAAAAATGGGCTGTTGAATGGGAGGAGTATTTTAAATTATTCAAAGGGGAATTCCTCACAAATTTACTTTCCATAGTCTCTTGACATATGCTTCTGAAATAAATGTGATTTCTTTGAACTCTGTTCCTTGACCTACTAGTTGAAAAATTAAATATGATTCAAAACACTTCCCATAAACTATAATGTTATATTTCAATTGTATTCTAGCTGAGGGCTGATTTTATATATGCATATGTGTGTGGGTGTGTGTATATATATATATATACACACACATATATATACACATACACACACATACATACACCCCACACACACACACACACATACATACATATATGTGTGTGCATACATATGTATTATGTATATGTAGGTGTATATACATATATACATATATATGTACATATAAATTATGTCAAAAATTAAGATAGGTGATATTTTCTGCTGGCATCATCAGTAAACTGTAAGCATCTGTCTTAGGGTTTCCTAGAAAAGCAGAACCAGGGAAATAGATAGATGTATGTATGGATAGATAGATAAATAGACAGGCAGACAGATAGATAGATATAGACAATGAGAGAGAGAGAGAGGAAGAGAAATTGACTTACTTCAAGAAATTGGCTCACATGATTGTGAGGGGCTGGCAAGTCCCAAATCTGAAGGTCAGGTGACAGGCTGGAGACACTTGCAAGTTTACTTTCCAAGCTCTGAAGGTCTGACAATGGAATGAGTGAAGTATGCCAAAATACATATTTATAGTTTGGAGGCAGAACACATCCTAGGGAAATTCCCTTTTCACCTGATTGATTACATAACTTCAGATTACATTATGGAAGATAATAGGTATTACTTATTACCAACTGATTTAATCACATGTAACTACTTCATAACATCAACTAGCTTAATGTTTGGCCAAAACCCTGGGAACCACAGCCTAGCCAAGTAGACATGTAAAATTCACCATCACAACATCTATATGATTATGAAGGGTTAAGGAAAAAAAAAAAAAAAACCTAAGAATTTTGCCAAGAAATACTAAATATGAAAGAAATCAGCTATAAACACTTATACATCTTAAGGTCAAGTCCATTCGGATAAGCAAGGAGAATTTATAAAGAAAGGCTGTGACAGATTTGGACACAAGAAAACAGAAGCTCTGATTTCTTCATGCCTATTTCAAAGTAATCTAGTACTTTCTTTTGGTTTAACTTGGGTCTCTTATGATGTAGTTAGCCATCTCAAAGATAAGAGAGCTGAGGCATGTTGTTGCTGTTGCTAGGCATAGTCGAGAGGCAGTTCCAACTCATGGTGACCCTGTGTACAACAGAATGAAACACTGCCCAGTTCTATGCCAGCCTCACAATCCTTGCTATACTGAGCCCATCGTTGCAGCCACTGTGTCAATCCATTTCATTGAGGATCTTTCCCTTTTTTGCTGATACTCCACTTTACCAAGAGTGCTATCCTTTTCCAGGGAATGGTTCCTTATGACAATATGACCTAAGTAGGTGAGACAAAGTCTGGCCATTCTAGCTTCCAAGGAAGCATTCTGGCTGCACTTCTTCAAGGACAGATTTGTTCACTCTCTGGCAGTCCATCGTTCTTTCAGTATTCTTCACCAACACCACAACTCAAAAACATCAGCTCTTCTTTGGTCTTCCTTATACATTAGCCAGGTTTCACATGCATACGAGGTGACTGAAAACACCATTGCTTGGGTTAAGTGCACCTTAGTCTTCAAAGAGACATCTTTGCTCCTCAGTACTTGAAAGAGGTTTTTTGCAACAGATTTGCCTAGTGCAGTCTATCGTCTGATTTCTTGACTGCTGCTTCCCTTGGTGTTAATGTGGGACCAAGTAATATGAAATCCTTGACAACTTCAATCTTTCCTCCATTTTTCATGATACTGTTTATTGGTCCAGTTGTGAGGATTTTCATTTTCTTTATGTTGAGGTGTAATCTGTATTGCAGACTGTAGTCTTTAATGTTCACCTGTAAATTCTTCAAATCATCTTCACTTTCAGCAAGCATGGTTATGTCATTTGTGTATTGCAGGTTTTTAATGAGTCTTCCTCCAATCTTGATGCCACATTTGTCTTCATATAATTCACCTTCTCAGATTATTTGCCCAGCATATATATTGAATAAATATGGTGACAGATTACAACCTTGATACATTCCTTTCCTGATTTTAAACCATGCAGTATCCCCTTGTTGTGTTTGGACAACAGCTTACTGGTCTATGTACACGTTCTTCGTGAGCACAATTAAGTGCTCTGGAATTCCTGTTCTTCTCAATGTCATCCATTATTTGTTGTGATCCACACAGTCAAATGCCTTTACAAAGTCAGTAAAACACAAGTAAACATCTTTCTGGTATTCTTTGCTTTCTGCCAAGATCCACCCGAAATCAGCAGTGATATCTCTTTTTCCACATCTTCTTCTGAATGCAGTTTGCATTTCTAGAAGTTTCCTGTCAATATGCTGCTGCAACCATTTTTTTTCATTATCTTCAGCAAAAATTTACGTGTGTTTGATATTAATGATATTGTTCAATAGCTTCCACATTCTCCTGGATCACCTTTCTTTGGAATGGGTATAAATATGGTTCTCTTCCAGTCAGTTGGCCAGGTAGCTGTCTTCCAAATTTCTTGGAATAGGTGAATAGGTGCCTCCAGCATGGCATCTATTTGTTGAAATATCTTAATGGATATTCTTTCAGTTCCTGGAGGCTTGTTTTTCTCCAATTCCTTCAGTACAGCTTCGACTTCTTCCTTCAGTACACTGGTTCTTGATCATATGCCAACTCCTGAAATAGATGATCATTGACTAATTCTTTTTGGTACAGTGACTCTCTGTATTCCTTCTATCTTCTTTTGATGTTTACTGCCTCATTCGATATTTTTCCCATAGAATCTTTCAATATTGCAACTCTAGGCTTGAATTTTTTCTTCAGTTCTTTCAGCCTTAGAAATGCTAAGTGTGTTCTTCCCTTTTGGGTTTCTAACTCTAAGCCTTTGTACATTTAATTATAATAACTGATTTTGTCTTCTTGAGCTGCTCTTTGAAATCTTCTGTTCAACTCTTATCATTTCTTCCATTTACTTTAGCTACTCTCTATTCAAGAGCAAGTTTCAGTCTCTTCTGATAGCCATTTAGTTTTTCTTCCTTTCCTGTCTTTCTAATGTCCTTTTGCTTTCTTCATGTATGATGGTCTTGAGGTCATCCCACAATTCATCTGCTTTTCAGTCATTGGCATTCAGTGGGTCAAATCTGTTCTTCAGATGGTCTCTAAATTCAGGTAGGAGGTGATCAAGGTTATATTTTAGTTCTTATGGCCTTGTTTTAGTTTTCTTCAGCTTCAACTTGAACTTGCATATGAGCAGTTGATGGTCTGTTCCACAGACAGTTTCTGGCCTTATTTTGGCTGAAGATATTGAGCTTCTCCATCGGCTCTTTCCACAGATGTAGTTTGTCTGATTCCTGTATATTCCATCTGGCGAGGTCTATATGTATAGCCGCTGTTTATGTTGTTGGAAAAAGGTATTTTCAATGAATATGTCATTAGTCTTGCAAAGTTCTATCATGTGATCCCTGGAGTCATTTCTATCACCAATGTCATATTTTCCTACTACTGGTGATTCTTTGTTGCCAGCTTTCACATTTTAATCACCAGTAATAATCAGTACATCTTGATTGCATATTTGGTCAGTTTCAGCCCGCAGAAGTTGGTAAATCTCTTGATTTTCCTCATTTTTGGCTTTGGTCATTGGTGTGTAAATTTGAATAGCTGGTCTTGTTTGTAGATGTATGGATATTATCTTATCACTGACAGCATTGTACTTCAGGATAGATCTTGAAACAGTTTTTTTTTTTTTTTTTTTGATGAATGTCATGCCATTCCTCTTCAATTTGTCATTCCCAGCATAGTAGATCCTATGGTTGCCTGATTCAGCATGGTCCAAACCAGTCTATTTCAGCTCACTAATGCCTAGGATATTGATATTTATGTATTCCATTTCATTTTTGACAACTTTCAATATTTATAGGTTCATACTTCATTCATTCCATGTTCCAATTATTGGTGGATGTTTGCAGCTGTTTCTTCCCATCTAGAGTCATGCCACATCAGCCAGTGGATGTCCAAAAAGCTTTAATCCGTCCATGTCAATAAGGTTGATTCTACTTTGAGGAGGCAGCTCTTCCCCATTGCTAGTTTGAGTGCCTTCTGACCTGAAGGGCTCATCTTCTGGCACTGTATCAGACAGTGTTTCAGAACTGTTCATAAAGTTTTCCAGTAATATATCAGGCAGTGTTCCACTCCTATTCATAAGGTTTTCACTGACCTATTCTTTGAGAAGTGGATGGCCCCTTCCTTTTTCCAAGTCTGTCTTAGTCTAGAAGCTCTGCTGAAACCTGTCCACTGCAGGTGACCCTGCTGGCATTTGAAATACCAGTGGCATAGCCTCCAGCCTCCCATCAACATGCATGCTACCACAGTACAACAAACTGACAGATGAGTGATGGGAGCTGAGGCATAGGAATATTAAAATGAATTGTTGAACCTGTGCTTCAAGGTGGATTTTTTTCCCGTATGAACAGCCCTACACTAAAGCTATTTTGAGTAGAGTAGCTCCCACTATAGGTACAGGGATTGAAAGACTTAGAGTGTGATGTAATAATTCCAAATGAGAAAAGTGAATCAGAAAAAATTGCTTCAAAGAAGATGGACACTTTAATCTGGTGATTTCTACTGGAGAAGAAAGTATCAGCTCTAAATTTAAAAATTTTGAGGGCATTTGAAGTTTCTCTACTTAAGTGTTTGTATGAGTATATAAATATAGTACAGATACATACTTTTTATGTAATTAGAGTGTGTCCTATGATAGTGATAATTATGATTGAAAAATTTACTGGGATAGTTGCCTGTTTGATTTTAAAATAGCTGTAAAGTTACTTGATTTTAATGTTGCTAGAGGTCTGTATGTAGGTAACATTGTAGATGCTCAGCAAATATTTGATAAATAAATGACTGTTACATTGTATTTACTCAAACAAAAGAGATAATTTCCTACCCTTTTACATCATGCTATCTAGTAGGAATATGATACAAGACCCATGTAATATTTATTGAGCTAAAATTTCTATATTTAACCCTATGTATGCATAACATTAAAATTTCAACGTAAAAATAATTAATGGAGTAGTTTACATTCTCTTACTGTTCTGTGTCCTCAAAATATTGTGTGCATTGTACACTTAAATGTACTCAAGAGTCATATGTAACTATGGGCTATTGATTGGGCAACACTGCTGTATATATTATCATAAGCTTCTGTAGTTGCCAACTGAATTTTTGACAATAAGGACTTACACCACTGCTTCTGCCTTCAAGACTCAACTCCTTATTTATATTTCTACATAATGGATAGCTCTCATTCTTCCCTTCTCTGGGCCATCAATTCTGATCCTTGTTTTTTCCTTTTATTGGCCTTGAAAATGAGTCCTGGAGAGTCTATGACTTTAAAAATAACACAGAGAAGAACACTCTAAGATTCACAGATATGATATTACTGTTACTGTCAAACCAAAGCATTTGATTCTGTGGTAGAGAGGCATAATGTGTGTGTGTGTGGGGCGGGGGCAGTTGGGGGCACTTATCCCAGGTGTAAGTCCAAGGGGGCCCCCAGACTAAGCCAGGCATGGAATCACTCCCATCCCCCCACCCCCTCCAGAAGGTCAGTGTTGGGGGGAGAGGGGGTGGTGCAAATCTGGAGATTGCCCTGGATGCTCTTTACCCTCACTAAGCCTCTACCACTGTATTCATGTCTCCTGCCACTTTCTGCATTAGAGGTTATGATTTAGAGAAGGTTCTTTATATAAGTAAGCCAGAAAAATGGCACATTCATGAAAACAGTATGTAATAGAAATGACAGCCAAAAATCTGAGCTATTAAGCAGTAGTTAAAGTGGAAGCCTGAAAGTTCCAAGAGTTATTTTATTATTTATGTACTGGAAAACATAATATAGGACCCTTGTTCTTAAGACATTAGTGATTGATGGTAGAGAAGCCTATTGTTTGCTTCTAGGGCAGGGCTACTACCGTTATCAGAAAAGTATTTTGTGTTTAGATTTCTCTCTGAGAAGGATATCATCTACTCTTGGTTGCTAAAACTATAATGATTTCACATTGATCTGTTTATTCATTCAGTATTTTTATTTTTAAGGCCAATTATATGCCAGAAAATGTGTTAGGTGTTCATTCAAAAGAGAGACATGGACCCTTCTCTCATTTTCCCCAATGCTCCTTTACCAGAATCACCTGTCAACTTACAGTAGTTTAGAAAACTTTGAAATAAGCATGTATAACAAGTTCAGTTTTTATTTATTTATTTATTTGTCTCAAAGGGAGCTGTAGATCTAATTCAAGCTGTATTTTTGGCACAGTTGCCATCTGGATTTGCAAATGTGGGTAAAACCAACAGAAATTTGCAGGACTATCCAGGTGCTTACCAAATTGTAGACCTGGCTGCACTAATATACTCCAGTTCCCAGTGCTGCTTGCCTGTTTTGAAGGAGTTGTGATTTAATTTCAGGAATGAGCTTTAACCTATGAAGAGGTTCTAAGAATTAACATTTTATTCTTATGTTGGAAGAGTCTCTTCAGATGTTGGATCTGGAAATGTATCAGTAAATATTAGTAAACCTTAATTAAGAAGTTTGAAATTATTTCTTTCCTATTGTCCAATAGGATCAGACCATGAAGCTTGTTGAGAGTTCAGGCTGTCCAACTTTGGATTGTCCAGAATCTCATCAGATTACCTTGTCTCATAGCTGTTGCAAAGTATGTAAAGGTAAGACATCCTCTTCTCACCTCCCCCACTCCCTGCTTTTTTTTTTTAATGTGAGATTTACATGTGTGAGTATGGGACACCAGTAATTGAGCAGTGGAATTTTCACCTTTTATGTGGGAGACCCTGATTGGATTCTCAGCTAATGCACTTATGTGGTGCTACCACCTGTCAGCAGATGTTTGTTTGTTGCTGTGATGCTAAACAAGTTTCAGTGGTGTGTCTAAAGACAGACTAGGAAGAAAGGTCTGGCAATCTACTTCCAAAAATTAACCAACAAAACCCTATAGATCACAACTTTCTGATCACATTGTGCGTGAGGGTGCTTTGACTCTGGGACTTACTCAACAGCAATATCAACAACCTGTGCATGAGTCATTTTAGGAGGCTGGTACAGTTGACATTAAAATAGAAATTCCTGTATGCAAGTTATTTCCAAAGATAAATATTTCCCTAAAGATTTTCCTAATTGCTTAATATTGCCAGATGGACCTGGCACACAGTAATTAGTGAAGGCATATTTATTGCTTTGAATTTAAATCTATATGTCTCACCTCTGCTAGGTATACCTCTCTCAAGCTCTAAATCTCTAAACTACTACTCTTTATTTGCTTATTCTGAGTCAGTACAACATTGCTGATGACAGTTATCAACAATGCTGTTACTTTTTTGACAGTTACTGTTGTTTGGCAATGGTTTTTGGTTTGATAATCATTTCTTCTTTATTGCCTAGCATACTTTCCACTATCACTACTTCAAATTCCTTTAGAGAGTTCTCTTCTCCCTCACTCATAATCTGTTTGTCTAATGAGAAGATAGTGGCCATCAGATGTGCATTGCTTATTCTGTGGGATCTTTGTGATGATAGGCTTAGGACCAATAAGTAGAAGATATTTAGACATTTAGTTGAGTGACAGAAACTCTAAAATTAGATCTAGTCAGAAATGTAATGCTCTATCTCAGGAGACAGTGAGTTCACATCACTAAAGGTTCTTCAGCTTGGTAATTTATTATAGTTTCAAGTATTTAACTACAGTATTAATTACACCCACTCCTAACTTACCAACATGGTTAGGATCCAAAGACCAGGTCATTATGCAAAAGTTGCCATTATGTGAAAATGGAGGATGACCACATCAGATCATAAAATGGAGGATGACTATATAATTACATAACTGGCTAATTACATCATTTCATTACTGCTGAATCACTGAGAATCATGCCCAGCCAAGGTGACACAAAACCTTAGCCATCACAGCCAGCGGTACTCTTGCCTCGCACCTCAGAATTCGTTACTGCCAGATGTATGTTGTTAATGTACAAAATAGATACTGGATTTATTATGATGGTCATAAATATGAAATACCAAATAACTAGATAATCAATAAGTAAGGCGTATGTGATATGCAACTCTTTAAGATCAATCCAAAAATACCTTTCTATATTGAGATTATATGTTTATGAATCTGTCTTTTGCATTAGACTGTATGCACTTTGAGATTTTGAGAGCAGGTCTGGGCCTTTATAATATTCACCTCTATGTTCTTAATACCTAGTGTAACATCTGGAAGGTAGTTGGTACTCATTAAATGAACTACTAGCACTTGTTTGAATGATGGGCTTTATGATGAAGCACAATATGGCTTAACTAGAAAAAGAAACTTTATAAAACATATACCATTTTGTTTCCTTTAACGTATTCTATTAAAAGTAGACTTAAAATTCCCACTCCCATTTTTTAGCAGGGTGATACAGATTTGTTTGTTTGTTTAAGCTCCTTTCATCCATTCAGTTAAAAGTTTCAAAATCTAATAACAAAGTGTTTTAAGACTTGTCTGTCCTTCTGAGAGCTTTCAGGTTAGGCTGTAAGAAATAAGGAACACTTCTATAAATAACTACAATCAAGGAGGCATATAAAGAGGGCCATTAGTTTTCACCCTCTTAGTGTCTGAGAAAGTACCTTGCACAGAAAATGTGTAGAATTTGATATGAAACAGGGAAACTCATTTTAGTTATTTCATGTGATTTGAAACTGGACTCTTAGTCTCAAGCTTGACTGGAGTGTCTTTGGCAGCCTAAGGAAGGCTATATCAGTACTTCTCAAACTTCAATATGCATACAAATACCCCAGTAGTTTTATTAAAATGTAGATCCTGATTCAGTGGGTCTGGGTTGGGGCCAAAATTCTACATTTCTAATAAGCTCCTATATGATGCTGGTGCTGCTGGTATAATATGCATCTCTAGTAAGGTCCCAGGTGATGTTGATGCTTCAGGTCAGGAGAACCACACTTTGAGTGTCTGTTGCTGAATAACAAACTTTCCCAAAATTCAGTGATGAAAAACAGCCATTTTATTATTATTTATCACAATTTGAGGGCCAGGAATTTAGAAGGGCTTGGCTAAGGGATTCTTTTGTGCTACTCTATCCAAAGACTCTCTTCCCCATGCACTATGGTACTCAAATCAATCATTTCACCTACTATATTTCCTTCAAAAGCTAATGCACCCCTCTCCTGCACACACTCCTTACTTATTTGTCTGTGTTCTCCTAGCTCTTGTAAGCTCCACAAAGTCAGGACTAATGCCTGCCATTTCTGCTTTCTTCACAATTGGATACCCAAAATGGTTCCTGGGACATAGTAGGGTACTTAATGAATGCATATCAATAAATATTTGGGTCCATTAACTGATGCAAGAAATATTTGTTGAGTAGCTAATGTATGCCAAAAGCATAAAAACATATCATATGGAATTTTAATAGAATCAAAAATGTATTAGACTGTAAAGTGCTATGTATGTATATATGTATATTTATTCTTGGTAAAATGGAGAAACTGTACCCACCTTGACTGGTATAGGATATCTGTGTGACTTATTATTTCCTTCAGAAGATTGACAGTCAAATAGTTCTTCAGAATGCTGAGCCTGTGTTAAATGAAGACTTCTTTCCTCTCTCATACTCAGTTGCAGTCCTTTCCTTATTCTACTTAAGGAGAAGTTTAGGATATACCTTTTAAAAATTAGTAGGTGATTTCATGGGATGAAATTTCATTTTTCATTTCTTCATTACATTGCTTAGAATTCATCTCTTATATGTTATACAAAATTGAACTCAGTTACATGCTGAAAGCTGGGCTGAGCTAGAAGGTTCAACATGGCCTCACTCTTATGTAGGCCATCTTGGTAGGGATAACTGGAAGGCTGGGCACAGCTGGGGCTCCTTAGTTCTCCCTGTAATCTCAGGACCTTTCTCTGTGATCTCTTTAGCTGATTAGATTTCTTAAATGGTGGCTCTGGACTCTTACAGGCTAGCTTGAACTATCGTTGGTCAAAGAAGTCACAGGCTAACTCAGATTAAAATGTAGGGGAAGTAGGCCCATCATAGACAGGAGAAGTATTTAAAATTTGTAGCCATATTTAATCTGCTGGACCTGTCCAGGGATTACTCAGAAATTACAGAAGTGAATATTCTAGAAGTTAGTCAAGGTTGAATAGAACATGATTTGTGTAAGAAGCTGGGTTAGGGTCTTTCAGATGTCAGATGACCAGAGAAGTCCTGGTCACATCCATTTCTTCTTCTTTTTTTTTTTTTTTCCTAAATAATACTGTGTTGTTGGTGAAAATGTACACACCAAAATTGTTCATTTTTAACAATTTTTATACATATTGTTCAGCGACATGATTACATTATTCAATGTGTCAACATTCCCATCATTTCCATTCTGGTTGTTCTGTTTCCATTAATCCAGCTTCCTTGCCCCTAGCCCCTTACCTTTTCATTTTTGCTTTAAAGTGATCTTAACTGTACAGTCTTATATAGATGATTTTAAAAAAGAGCTCAGTACTGACTGGGGTATTTTTTTTAATTTCATGAGCCAATTTGTTATTTCACTAAAAGGTGACCTCCAGGAGTGGTTTCAGTTCTAAGATTAAAAGCAATAGTGTAGGGGGTTATTCTAGTCTTCACAAGTTCAATAAATCTTCTCCCCCCTTTTTTAAAAAGAATTTGGCTACACACACACACACATATATTTTTTTTCCCCTTCCCATTCTATCTGGGACCATCTGTTGTGTTCCTGATCAGAACAGTGAGTACAGGTAGCTGGATACCATCTAGATCTTCTGGTGTCAGGATAGATAAGGCCATGGTTCATATGAGCTATTAGTCCTACAGTCTGCAGTATGGATTATGTCTCAATATAAAGAAAACAAAAGTCCTCACAACTGGATCAATGAGCAGCATCACAATAAATGGGGAGAAGATTGAGGTTGTCAAATAATTCACTTTGCTTGGTTCTACAATCGATGCCAACAGAAGCAGCAGTCAGTACGTTAGATGACGTGTAGCATTGGGAAAGTCAACTGCGAAAGAACTGGTTCAAGTGCTGAGGAGCAAGGATATCTCCTTGAGGACTAAGGTGCACCTGACACACGCCATGATATTTCCAGTCGCCTCGTATGCATGTGAGAGCTGGACAATGAATAAGGAAGACC